GCCCAGAGTTCAGGCCCCACGACCGGACCCAAAAAAAAAAAAAAAAAGAAAATAAATACTAAAAAGCTACAGTCTGGAAAAACTGCCAACTGAAGAAAAAAAGTTGTAATTAAAGGCAAGGCTACTCTGTGGCCTGTGGCTGCTCATCCACCTTCTTCTGCGAACCCATGCGTGTGGAAGCTGTGCCCAAAGGAGCTACAGGGCCATGGTTTGAACGCCTCCCAGAGTCCACAGTGGGAAACCAAGGCCCAGGGCAGCAGCACTGGGAGCCTGCAGGCATGTGTCTGCACCGTCTGCATGTCTACTACAGAGGGGCACTGCTCAGGGTACCACCCTGAATGCACTGGGCCCTACCAGATACCAAACCTGCTGGTGTCTTGATTTGCACTTCCCAGCTTGCAGAACCCTGAGAAATAAGTGTTGGTTCCTCATGGATGACCTAGTCTTTGTATTATGGGATAGCAGTACAAATGGAGCAAGATACACAGCTGGGAGAAATGGGTAGATCTGGTTTCAGAAAGGGAACAGTTGGGGGGCTGGGAAGGTGGCTCAGTGGTAGAGCGCTTGCCTTGCACGCTCAAGGCCCTGGGTTCGATTCCTCAGCACCACATAAGCAAAAAGAAAAAGCCAAAAGTGGCGCTGTGGCTCAAGTGGTAGAGCACTACCCTTGAGCTGAAGAGCTGAGGGACAGTGCCCAGGCCCAGAGTTCAGGCCCCACGACTGGATCCAAAAAAAAAAAAAAAATTAAAATAAAAAAAAAAAGAAAGGGAACAGTTGGGCAGAAAGGGGCTGAGATGAAGGCCAGCTCCTCAGAAGAGGGATTGCATGCCATGTCATTCCTTCCAGGAGAACCAGAACAACATGCAAAAGCCCCAGGACGGTGGCTGCTGAGTGTACACCACAGGAGCTGGACACATGGCTGCTCACAGCCTCATCTCTCCTGCAAGGGGAGAGAGAGGTGGGCGGGGTCCCAGCCCACAGCCATTTTTGCCCTCCAAAGATGTACTGAGAGGGGCTGCAGCCATCCAGACATAAACCAGGCCTCGTCCCACAAGGCGAGTGGTCTGTCCCAGAGACGTCCCAGCAGAAAAGGGGTTAATTTGGCTCCATTGAAAATGGGATAAACCTTGCAAAATGGGAGATCACAGGCCAATCAGTGTAAACAAGTGTTTATTTGACCTCCATGACCTTTTAAAGGTCAGGAAAAAAATTTCTTGGGCTATCACTGGTGTCCTGGGCTATCACTGGTGTCCTGGGCCTCCCTGCCCTCATCTCCAATCACTGCAGGAGGAGTTGATTCAATTCTTTTCTTTTTTTTTGGGTCAGTCATAGGTCTTGAACTCAGGGCCTGGAAGCTGTCCCTAAGCTTCTTATGCTCAAGGGGAGCCCTCTAACACTTGAGCCACAACTCCAGTTTTTGGTAGATAAAGAGTTTCATGGAGTTTCCTGCCTGGGCTAGCTTCAAACCATGATCCTCAGATCTCAGCCTCCTGAGTAGCTAGGATTACAGGTGTGAGCCAGTTCTTTATCAGGAGTTGGTGGCAACAGAGGTCAACACCTGGTCACTTTGCGGTCTCTGGTACAATCATTCTTGGTGTCTCAGGACGCAGGGAGAGCTCAGAGGCCAGTGAGTTAAGCTGGAACTTTATACAATGCCAGTGCATGTCTGCCTATGAAGCCTACACTGGAGGCTCCCCATTTATTTACCTGCCACTGCTAGAGGCGCTTCTCACAAGACGCTCCTCAGTTGAAGGACAACACTTACCTTTGGCTTCAAATTTTCCTATGAGCTGGGCTCCCATCGCCATGGCAACATTGGACAGAAGACACGACAGCAGCTTCTGGCTCAACGTCATCCAGTTGTAGTGTGGAGCCACGAAGAAGTAAGGGATATAGGTGAAGAAGTAGAGGAAGCCTCCCACGGCCGCCGCGATGTTGGCTGTGGGGAGAGGGATGCCTGGGATGTGCTGCACGTTTGCCAGCAGATACGTGCCTCATGGCAGTGGTCAGGGAAGAGGGTGGGCCCCACCTGGGCCCAGTGCTGGGGGGACTCTGGGCTCAGCCCACAGCCTCTTCTCATTGTACATGTTCCCTGAGGATAGCACCCAGCCTGGGGTTCCTGGCTCCCTCCTGCAGACTCTCCCTTACAGCCTTTTCCTTGACATCTCACCCCAAGTCTCCTCATCTGCTTTGCCTGACGGCTCTCATTTTTTCATTCATCTACCCATTGAATACTCACTGAACACCTACGCTGTCCAGGAACTAGAGATGGTACCACAGAGCAACCCTGTACCCTTCTCAGAGCCTGGAGGCCAGCATTCCCCTAGGGTCGTCCTTCTTCAAGTAGGAAGTGCTGCACACGGGGTGCCCCATGGGACAAGAGCTGGGCGCAGCAGCAAGGCTTAGAATGGGAACCAGAAGGCTTCATGGAAAAGTGACATGTGGGCACCACCCAGCAGAGGCAAGCACGCAGCTTGGCGCCCGGTGGGGCAGGGAGGAAGAACAGTGTGCTGTCAGCTCATGTTAGCAGTACGGATCTCTTGGCATTACGATCCCTTCACGCGCCAGGTTCCTGGTGGATCACACCTATACTCCCAGCTACGGAGGAGGTGGGGGCAGGATTGCTGTCGGAGGCTAGCTCGATCCCATCTCAACCAATAAACAGGCGTGGTGATACATGTCTGTGGTCCCAACTACGCAGGACACAGAGGCCGGAGAATTATGCTCAGAGACCATCCCCAGGTAAAAAACTCAAGACCCCATCTGAAAAGTAACTAAAGCAAAAAAAGGGAGGCTGGCTCAGGAGGTAAAGCACTTGTCTACACGCAAAGGATACTGAGTGCAGTCCCGAGTTATGGCCCAAACAACTCCCCACTTAATCAAAAAAATCCAGTAATAACCACCGACAAGCTTACACACATTTTGTTACGAAAAATAGCTGCATTTCCACAATGCAGTGAGAAGAACAGCCTGGCTTCATGTGTTCGCAGCCTCTGGAATGTGTAACCTCACAGATAGCCCTTGCATTCTCGCTCTGTACCATGTTGCCTGGCTGAAGAGGAAGAAGCAAACATGGCTTCAAGTTGTACAGCTGGGTGCTGTGTTAGTCCTTGCAGACACTGGTAGCTATTCCTGATACCATACCATATGTGCGGGCAAACCAGCCAATGGACATTTCACTCTGTCCTCTGAGAAGCTGTTGGTTTATCTTGTACTTTGAATGGATTTGTCCTCTTCCTTGATTTTGTAACATAAGGCATTCATTGTTTGGAAAATATTGCTTATTTTATCTTCCATTGACACATTTTATTACACAGTATCAAAAAGATCACATTAGTTAATATTATACCAGTCTCATGAGAAACTCTTAAAGGTTGGAAGCTGTCACATTCATGGTGATAGACTTGAGGTAGTAAAATCCTCAGTTGTTGTTGTTGTTTTTTGCTTGAAAGCTTTAATTTATTAGGGGTGCCAGATATTATCAGTGATTTAACATTAGAAACAAAAACCAGGCTCAGATTTTCTTTTGAGAGTGCCTATCAAATCTACAAGTGCAAACAACTATAGCCTAACAGTCCTTCATAAATAAAGCAGCTAGTCTAGCTGACAATTCAAACAGCTGTTCATGTACTGTTCCTGAAGAGAACTGCATCCAGTATACAGCGAGGTACCTTCCATGTGTATCCCATTTCATCTGCTGAATATTGGAAGGAGTGTACTCCGGGGCTGAATGTGTGGCTCAGTAGTGGAATGCTGACCTATGATGTATAATGCACTTGGTTCATCCCAGCACAACAGGTTTTTTTTTTAAGTATATTCAGAAGTGAATAAAAGTAGTATTTTTACTGTTTCATTAAGGATGTTCTTTCTCCTTCCTTTTCTCTCTCCCTTTCTCCATCCTTCCCTGCCTTGTCTCTATGTCTGTCTGTCTTTTAGAAGCCTAGGAAGTTAATAAACACTCTGTGGGGTACACATTGATCTTAGATATGTTGATTAACTTAACTTTTTGAAAGACTTCAAAGGTAATCATTTACGCTCAACACTAAGAGGAATCACTAAGAAGAATGGAGACATAGTTGATATTTTCCAAACCATCAGAGATAAAAGAACCCAAGGAACTGTCAGTCTGACATAAGATAGGATATGAGAAAACATCAGTCCAGGGAAATGACAGTAAGTAGAACACACAGAATCCAGAAACAATCCCAAGGGTAACAGTAATCCCCGGTGAGTGTATGTGAGCTTTTCCTTTGGCTACTCTTGGCGTTCCACACAGCAGCCACACTTGCCCGCTGCAGCCCCCAGGCTCTAGCCATCCTGACTCCTCCCTAGCCCTTCGCATGTGCCTTCTCTTCTCCTTCCAGCTCCTTTCTGGAAGAATTTGTGAGGCTTTGTCACAGGCCTGTGCCAGCCCCCTCTAAGCCTGTCCCTCACTGGTATAACCTACTATGTGCAGTCCCAGCCTCCCAGGTCCTCTCTTTTGGCAACTCAACCTCTGGGGCATCTACACAGATGCCCTTTGACCCCTTCATCTTTTTTTTTCTTTTTTTGGGTGGTCCGGTTGTGGGGCCTGAACTCTGGGCCTGAGTGCTGTCCCTCAGCTCTTCAGCTCAAGGCTAGCGCTCTACCACTTGAGCCACAGCGCCACTTCCGGCTTTTTTCTTTTTGCTTATGTGGTGCTGAGAAATTGAACCCAGGGTCTCAGGCATGCAAGGCAAGCGCTCTACCACTGAGCCACCTTCCCAGCTCAGTTTCCAGTCTCTTATGGTACCCGAGGCACCCCCAAAACTATAGGTGTGGCAGCTACGACTAGAGTCCAGAATCAGCCTGCCTGGCCCCTCCCCAGGCTAGCAGAAAGACCCTGCAGGTGACTTCATGAGGCTTGAGCTGAGACATGACCCTGCTCAGTTTGTGTCTGTGAGCTTGCATTAGAAGCACTTGCATTAGGCAGCCACTGCCTCACCCCCACTGTTCTGAAAGGAGGGGTCCAGAACGTTGGTGGGAAAGGTGCCTCATGCTGGGGAGCAGGAAGGGTTAGGTGGGCAGCATTTCTGATTACACCTTCCTTCCCCATGTGCATGTCAAGCTGTCAGAGATGCTCTGAGGAAGTCGAGTTCCTCCACTGACCAACACACTGCCCTGGGAATACGGGACATCTAAGATGTACTGTCCAGTATTATAGCCAGTGGCTACACATGGCTATTTCAACCTAAGAAAAATCAAGTGAAGTTAATAATTCACTCCCCACTGGGGATGAAGTTGCATGACAGAGAACTTGCCTAGCAGTCATGAAGCCTGGTTAACACACACACACACACACACACACACACACACACACACCTTCTTTCAAGAGTTCCACAGTGACTGCAATAGGCAACAGTTACACACACACACACACACACACATACACACACACACACACACCTTCTTTCAAGAGTTCCACAGTGACTGCAATAGGCAACAGTTACAATACTTGTTCAATGTCACAGATACACATACAGCTCCACTGAGAAGAACTGACTAAGGGAGGAGACCAGGACTGACTGAGTCTTGCAGGCACGGAGTCAGGATTTTCCAAGTTATTGTTATTACACACAATTCCAAATCCTTAGAAAAATTGGCTGGGTATGGCAGTGAATCCCTGTGACCCCAACTATTTGGGAGACAGAGTTAGGAGGATTGACGTGAGAGGCTAGCCCCAGGCAAAAAGTATGAGATTCGAATTGTAGCGTGCCTGTCTGGCAAGTGCAAGGTCCTGAGTTTAAAACCCAAGTCCTCAAGAAATAAAAAGGAAAAAAAAAGAAAGGAAGAAGAAGAAAAAAAGTATGAGATCTTATCTGAAAAGTAGGCTAAAGATATAAAAAGAGCTCTGGGCACCTGCCTAGCAAGCACAAGGTTCTGAGTTCAAATTGCAGTACCACCACCAAACCTTTGGAATAATAAAAAGACAAAGTACAAGGACCTACCACTTAGATTTGATGACCACATGATCTGGGTCTGTCTGCTTCACCGTTTGTCTGTAGTTGGGTGTCACACATGTATTTCTTCCCTAGCCCACTGCTAACTATCTCAACACTGTACCATTTTATTGTTTCTTTAAGGAACCCAAGCCAGCCCTTGTGTGGTTATTAGTTCTTGTCTGAAGCAGTTTAAAACATCCAACAATCACCAAGTTAGCTCCAGTGAGAATATCCTGTGTCATTTCACACTAATATGGACATTTCTAGAAGAGGAGCTGCAAACAAATTCTGTGGGCAGTGTGAGTGGGGCAGTGGCATTCTTCATTGGGCTGTTCCTCATCCAGTCAGGTTAAAGTTCACAGCGACACTCTGTACACATCCAACTTTCTCTTATTAGGCCTAACTGTCTGCAACTATGGTTGTCCTTCATCTGTGTTCAATACTGATTCCTGGTCAATATTTTTTTTTTTTTTTTGCCAGTCCTGAGGCTTGAATCAGGGCCTAGGTGCTATCCTTGAGTTCCTTTTGCTCAAGACTAGAGCTCTACCACTTGAGCCACAGCGCCACTTCCGGCTTTTTTCTTTTTGCTTATGTGGTGCTGAGAAATTGAACCCAGGGTCTCAGGCATGCAAGGCAAGCGCTCTACCACTGAGCCACCTTCCCAGCCCTGGCCCCTTCATCTTACATGAACTGTCCCGCTTTCCTAAGTTATGATCACCCCACAGTCCTTCAGCCTGAGAGGAGCCTTACCTTTATTGAAGAAAGTGCTGACCATGAAGCTGAAGGAGATGGAGGAGATGGCAAAGCACAATAGGAAGACCAGCACCAGAGAAGGGTCACTGCTTGAGAGCACTGCTATGTCCTTTTTCACCTGCAGGATGGACAGCCCCGAGCGAGACAGGGGGGTTAGGCCGGAGAAGCCAGGGCTGGACCAGGAGTAGCCTAAGTGTCTAGGTCACATGGGCACTACTCAAGTTGGAAGCTGGCCCGTCTCAGCCAGCAGAAAGCCCTGTAGTCCCGTGGGGAACCTGGCCTGAGGTCAGGAGTCTGAGGTGAGACATGCTCTGCTGGGTACGGTGGGCTCTGTGCCCTCCTCCCCTCAGAGCCCCACCGAAGTCACACTCACCTTGATGCACAGGAGAAAGGTCATGAAGGAGACTGCGATGAGGAGGAAGAAGAAGAACATGAGGAACCATGCGGTCCAGTGCAGCCAGCTGCTGAGCCCCATCATGTGCATGTACTCCTGCCAGGGGTGGGGGAGGCGTCACACCTGTCTTTAAACCGCGGGCCTTTCCCCAGAGCCACCTGTGTGCTAGTGTGTATGGCTGCGCACGCCCGCGTGTGTGCATGTGCGTGCGTGTGCGCGTGAGTGTGTGTGTTTGTATAGGTTCTGTGCCTACCTAGAGACCAAGAGGAGGACCAGGTACCTGTGCTGTGAACCAGAAACAGGACCCACACAGCATATGTTGGGGAAGAAAAAAGGCCCTAGTTTAACCATTACATCAGCCCTGGGGGCTTAGAATTTTTTGTTGTTGTTGGTCCTCGGGCTTGAACTCTGGGTCTGGGCGCTGTCCCTCAGCTCTTCAGCTCAAGGCTAGAGCTCAACCACTTGAGCCAGAGTGCCACTTCCAGTTTTCTGAGTGGTTTACTGGAGATAAGAGTCTCATGGACTTTCCTGCCAGGGAGGGCTTTGAACCCTGATCCTCAGATCTCAGCTTCCTAAGTAGCTAGGATTGCAGGTGTGAGCCACCAGCGCCGGTTGGTCTAAGTATTTTTCTCCTGCCTTATATGCTCTCCCACCTGGGCCTGTCCCTGGACCAACATCTGGATGAATTGCTCCAAATCCCTATGTTGTGCCCCGCCCTCACTGCCCACGCCTCTACAGAGTAGCCTAGCTCTTCCTCAGAGTAAAGCAAAGGCTTTGTCCTCCCACTGGCTTCACTAGGCCCCCCATGCCAGCGCACCCCTTCTTCATATGTGCTATAGTCAGAGGCTAATATGGGAGCTTACTGATGTCAATTAAGCTGGTTGATTCTCTCCAAAGTCCTTTAGAGTGCTCCCAAGTGCTATGAGGCAGTTCCAAATTGTGGGGAACAGTTTCCAGTCTCCTTTTTTTTTTTTTTGTCGGTCGTGGGGCTTGAACTCTGGGCCTGGGCGCTGTCCCTCAGCTCTTCAGCTCAAGGCGAGTGCTCTACCACTTGAGCTACAGCACCACTTCCGGTTTTCTGGTGGTTTACTGGAGATAGGAGTCTCACGGTCTCTCCTGCCCGGGCTGGCTTTGAACCGTGATCCTCAGATCTCAGCCTCCTGAGTAGCTAAGATTACAGGCGTGAACCACCAGCACCCGGCAAAATGTAAGTCTAAACTGTTTTTTTTTTGGGGGGGGGTCCGGTTGTGGGGCCTGAACTCTGGGTCTGGGCGCTGTCCCTCAGCTCTTCAGCTCAAGGCTAGCGCTCTACCACTTGAGCCACAGCGCCACTTCCTGCTTTTTTCTTTTTGCTTATGTGGTGCTGAGGAATCGAACCCAGGGCCTCATGCATGCAAGGCAAGCGCTCTACCACTGAGCCACCTTCCCAGCTCAGTTTCCAGTCTCTTATGGTACCCGAGGCACCCCCAAAACTATAGGTGTGGCAGCTACGACTAGAGTCCAGAATCAGCCTGCCTGGCCCCTCCCCAGGCTAGCAGAAAGACCCTGCAGGTGACTTCATGAGGCTTGAGCTGAGACATGACCCTGCTCAGTTTGTGTCTGTGAGCTTGCATTAGAAGCACTTGCATTAGGCAGCCACTGCCTCACCCCCACTGTTCTGAAAGGAGGGGTCCAGAACGTTGGTGGGAAAGGTGCCTCATGCTGGGGAGCAGGAAGGGTTAGGTGGGCAGCATTTCTGATTACACCTTCCTTCCCCATGTGCATGTCAAGCTGTCAGAGATGCTCTGAGGAAGTCGAGTTCCTCCACTGACCAACACACTGCCCTGGGAATACGGGACATCTAAGATGTACTGTCCAGTATTATAGCCAGTGGCTACACATGGCTATTTCAACCTAAGAAAAATCAAGTGAAGTTAATAATTCACTCCCCACTGGGGATGAAGTTGCATGACAGAGAACTTGCCTAGCAGTCATGAAGCCTGGTTAACACACACACACACACACACACACACACACACACACACCTTCTTTCAAGAGTTCCACAGTGACTGCAATAGGCAACAGTTACACACACACACACACACACACATACACACACACACACACACCTTCTTTCAAGAGTTCCACAGTGACTGCAATAGGCAACAGTTACAATACTTGTTCAATGTCACAGATACACATACAGCTCCACTGAGAAGAACTGACTAAGGGAGGAGACCAGGACTGACTGAGTCTTGCAGGCACGGAGTCAGGATTTTCCAAGTTATTGTTATTACACACAATTCCAAATCCTTAGAAAAATTGGCTGGGTATGGCAGTGAATCCCTGTGACCCCAACTATTTGGGAGACAGAGTTAGGAGGATTGACGTGAGAGGCTAGCCCCAGGCAAAAAGTATGAGATTCGAATTGTAGCGTGCCTGTCTGGCAAGTGCAAGGTCCTGAGTTTAAAACCCAAGTCCTCAAGAAATAAAAAGGAAAAAAAAAGAAAGGAAGAAGAAGAAAAAAAGTATGAGATCTTATCTGAAAAGTAGGCTAAAGATATAAAAAGAGCTCTGGGCACCTGCCTAGCAAGCACAAGGTTCTGAGTTCAAATTGCAGTACCACCACCAAACCTTTGGAATAATAAAAAGACAAAGTACAAGGACCTACCACTTAGATTTGATGACCACATGATCTGGGTCTGTCTGCTTCACCGTTTGTCTGTAGTTGGGTGTCACACATGTATTTCTTCCCTAGCCCACTGCTAACTATCTCAACACTGTACCATTTTATTGTTTCTTTAAGGAACCCAAGCCAGCCCTTGTGTGGTTATTAGTTCTTGTCTGAAGCAGTTTAAAACATCCAACAATCACCAAGTTAGCTCCAGTGAGAATATCCTGTGTCATTTCACACTAATATGGACATTTCTAGAAGAGGAGCTGCAAACAAATTCTGTGGGCAGTGTGAGTGGGGCAGTGGCATTCTTCATTGGGCTGTTCCTCATCCAGTCAGGTTAAAGTTCACAGCGACACTCTGTACACATCCAACTTTCTCTTATTAGGCCTAACTGTCTGCAACTATGGTTGTCCTTCATCTGTGTTCAATACTGATTCCTGGTCAATATTTTTTTTTTTTTTTTGCCAGTCCTGAGGCTTGAATCAGGGCCTAGGTGCTATCCTTGAGTTCCTTTTGCTCAAGACTAGAGCTCTACCACTTGAGCCACAGCCTCACTTCCAGCTTTTTCTATGATTAACTTGAGATAAGAGTCTCATAGACTTTCCTGCCGAGGCTGGCTTTGAACCACGATCCTCGATCTCAGCCTCCTGAGTAGCTAGGATTACAGATGTAAGGCACCAGCGCCTGGCCTGATCAACTCTGAAACATTTTTAAGATTACCTCCTGTTCAACAGGAGACAGTTTCCCTTACTGCGGATGTACTTCCAAGAGCTGCAGTGTCCAGTGTCTCTTGGCAAAGGGGAGGTACAGTGGTGGACACCCTGCACCTCAACTCTTCTGGCTCCCACATGAAGGGATCCTGGCCAAATGGTAGGTCATCTCTGAGACAAAGCCAGTTCTTTCATGCAAGCCCCAGGGCACACAGGCATGGTGGTACCACTCCCACAACCAGCAGGCCGGAATGTCACAACGCCCTCCCCCACAGGGTTACCTTTAGTTTTCTCTCTTTCTCCTGCACCACGGACCGGATGATGGTGAGGGAAGTGTAGGTGAAGCTCAGCATGAGTAGCAGGGGAAGCTGGTACTGGATGGCGATAAGGAAGGGGTCTGAGATGTATGGTGGGAAAGGGAACCTCTTTGCCTTGACCGTGAGTTTCTGGAAGAGCTGCTGTGTGGAGGCATTGGCATGGTAGTGCATGATGGCTTTGTCCACAGCATGCTGCACCACCAGGAAGCCTTCGCGAATGTACCCTAAGTACAGAAATGACAGCGGTGTCACAGGTGCTGCTTGCCGGAGAGCCACACGTCCTGATCAGCCTTGCGGGGGCTGCAGAGGCAGGGGCACAGCAGGCAACTCGGTCAGTTCACCTGCCAATCCCAGCACAGATCTGTGAGCCCATGCAAGAGGGAAAACACACTTCTGACTGACAGCAAACAACAACAGCGAGGTTTCTGTCCCTTCCACTCCCTAATGAGCCCCATGTTACAGGAGCACATCAAGAATATCAAGAGGTGAGTAAATTAACTCCAGTGACACATTGCTCTACACGATATACCCTAAACATACATTTTTAACAGATAAGCATGTGTCGCCGGAGACACAGGCTGAAGAGAGTACTGCCCTGTCCAACGCTTATGGTAGACTTTCAGAAACCAGTTTCCCCGGATGCTTTCCTCCTTCTTCTAAAACCAAGATAAAGGCTGTGAATGAGGCTTAGTGGGAGAGAGCTTGGCTAGCACGCATGAAACTCTGGGTTTGATTCCTCAGTACTACATACACAGAAAAAGCTGGAAGTGGTGCTGTGGCTCAAGTGGTAAAGTGCTAGTCTTGAGCAAAAGAAGCTCAGAGACAGTGCCCAGGTCCTGAGTTCAATCAAGCCCCAGGACTGGCAAAATAAATAAATAGATATAAATAAATGAATGAATGAATACATAAATAAAAACAAGATAAATATTTCTAAGAAGCATTTGTGCCTGGACATGCCAGGCAGCTTTGTTCTCATAGCTGGTGCCACATGGCAGTCAGAACTAGTAATGTGGCCCCTAAAAGTGCTGCTCACCAGGTTCCCCACCATCAGGGGATGTGGGTTCCCTTGGTCCTGGGTTTGGGAAAAGTGGAAAAAGGGAATTGGTGTGCCAGCCATCTGTTTCTTTCAGGAAAAAGTTGCCTGTTTGGGTCCATATGTAATTTCTTCGTGCACAACTGAAGCGTAGGTGGTATTTCACCTGTGGAAACAAAGACAAGAGCAACTGTTCGGAGGGGTTTGGACAGAGGAGTGGATGCTAGAGTCCCACAGGGCACATTCCCAGGTTCTTCATCACCAAGACTGGTGCCTCCAGGAACTCACCACACCCTCACCACTTATCTCTTGAGAGCTGGCAAAAGGAACACTGCACCACATCTGGAAGGAGGCAGGATTTCTAGACGGCCACCAATACCAGGCAAGACTAGGCAAGACTGTTTCCCAATCTTAATTCCATCAGGAAAGCAAACAACTTTCTTCTTTCTTTCTCTCTCTCTTTTTTTTTTTGTCGGTCGTGGGGTTTGAACTCTGGGCCTAGGCGCAGACCCTCAGCTCTTCAGCTCAAGGCCAGCGCTCTACCACTTGAGCTACAGCGCCACTTCCGTTTTTTTCTGGTGGTTTATTAGAGATAGGAGTCTCACAGTCTTTCCTGCCTGGGCTGGCTTTGAATCGCGATCCTCAGATCTCAGCCTCCTGAGTAGCTAGGATTACAGGCATGAGCCACTAGCGCCCGGCCTCTTTTTTTTTTTTTTGACAGTCCTGGGTCTTGAACTCAGGGCCTGGGCACTGTCCCTGAGCTTCTTTTGCTCAAGGCTAGCTCTCTACCACTTGAGCTACAGTGCCACTTCCGGCTTTTTCTTTGTGTGTGGTACTGAGGAATCGAACCCAGGGCTTCATGCATACAAGGCGAGCATTCTACCACTAACCACCTTCCCAGCTCCTCTTCCTCTTCTTTTTCCCTTCCCTTCCCTTCCTTTCCTTTCCCTTCCCTTCCCTTTCCTTCCTCCTCCTCCTTCTTCTTCTTTTTTTGGCCAGACAATATTTAAGTCCTAAATTTCTGCTACTTGCCTATCTACCCTATCTGACTCTTAACTAAAAAGAAGCCTAGACATTAGTAACATCTTTTTTTCTAAAATAGGAGAACAAAAGAAGTCTGAAGCAGCACTCTGTGGGTGCTGCAGAATCAGTTGATTAAAATATCATCAGGCTGGTCTGGGAAGGTGGCTCAGTGGTAGAGCTTGCCTTGCATACATGAGGCCCTGGGTTCGATTCCTCAGCACCACATAAGCAAAAAGAAAAAAGCTGGAAGTGGCGCTGTGAGGGACAGTGCCCAGGCCCAGAGTTCAGGCCCCACAACTGGACCCCCCAAAAACAACAACAACAACAAAAAAAAAACATCACCAGGCTCTCTCAGTGAGGACCAAGTGGTGACACGGACTCAGAAGACAGGTCATGCGCACTCCTAGGCAGGCAGGGGTTAAAGAAAGCAGCCATGTTTTTTTGGTTTTTTTTTGAGGGGGGGGGTCCGGTCGTGGAGCCTGAACTCTGGGCCTGGGTGCTGTCCCTCAGCTCTTCAGCTCAAGGCAAGCACTCTACCAGTACAGCCACAGCACCACCCAGGGCCTCATGCATGTAAGGCAAGCGCTCTACCACTGAGTCACCTTCCCAGCCCCAAGCAGCCATGTTTGAAGGTCTAATTAGTATGAAAAGGATGCTGCAGGTAGGCAGGATGCTGGGGGGCAGCCTCACCGCCAGTGGCAGCGGGTCCTTGCTGTGGTTGAAGACGTGCTCAAACACCACTGCGGCCAGCACATTGGAGGAGTGGTTGTCATACCGAATGTAGTCCTCGAAGTCCTTCTCAGAGGGAAAGCCTCGTACTGTGGACAGACAACAGAGCTGTGAGTTGCCCAGTGGTCCTCATCCCTTGAAAAGCCTAGAAGTGTCAGGGCCCTTCAGCTAAAGACTGAGCCCACCAGGTGCTGGCCTTTCCCACTGGTAATCCTAGCTACTTAGATGGCTGAGATCTGGAAAGAGTGCAGTCAGAAGCCACCCTGGCCAGAAAAGTCTGAGAGACTCCATCTCCAAAATAAGCAAAACCCAGGCTGAAAGCTGAGCACTAGATCACGCCTTTAATTCTAGCCACGAGAAGGTGGAGATCTGAGACCAGTTTGAAAAAAGCCTGGGCAAAAAAGTCCACAAGACTCTATTACCAATTAATCACCAAAAAAGCTGGACTGGAGGTGTGGCTCAAATAACAGAATGCCAGTTGAATGAGCAAGCTGAGCAAGTGCAAGATCCTGAGTTCAAAACCCAGAACCCAGAAAAAAGAAAAAAACAGATGACAAACTGAAAATATTCTCCAGGGCTCTGTGAAGCTTCTCCTGAGACTGGAGTGGCTTTTGCCTTAGCAGACAGACCGGCTGTGTAGGCAGCCCCTAGGCAGTGGGCTCTCCCGCTGCAGGTTTAGAGCAGGGCTGCAGCAAAGCTCAGCAAAAATGAGCCTCAAAAAAAAAAAAAAAGAGTAACAACCTCAGGCTGGGATCTGCAGCCAGGACATCTTCTTTTTTCTCATAAACATCATGGCCTGTTTTAAAAACTGGAGTGTAGCCCAGGCATACTGGCTCATACCTATAGTCTCATCTACTTGGAAAGCAGAGTTGGGAGGATTGTGATTTGAGAAAAGCCCCAAGCAAAAAAGTTAGCAAGATCTCATCTCAACTACCATGCTGGATGTGATGGCTCACATCTGTGGTCTCTGCGGTGCGGGAAGAATAGAGCAAAAATGGGCCCAAGGGGTAGAGTGCCAGCAAGCACAAGGCTTTGAGTTCATACCCCAGTGCCACCAAAAATAAAAATTGGGAAGGATGCTAACTTATAGTTTCTAAAGTATTCTCTGCCTCCCATTTTACAGAGAGAACTTTAGTATAATAATTTGCTGAGACAAAGGAATATCTTATAAGTGCTGCTACCCAGAGCTTCACCTGCTGTAAGAGGCATGTGCCAACAGGAAGAGGTAAAAGGTAAGCGACAAAAGGTGAATGGGGTAAAAGATAAAACAGGAAGATAAATTTACTGAAGGCAAGGAAAAGGTACACATTTCCTGGGCGTCTCCCTTGATAGGCTCTTTAGAGCTGCCCCTTGAAACAACAGAAAAGGTCCTTGGTCCAAGCACTTGAGCCTGGCTGTGCTTTTATAATCAAAGGCTTTCCTTGGCGGGGCCCTCCTAACTCCCTCTGTTGGCACTGGTGTGGCTGCAGAACCTGGTGTGGCCCTTCCGTGAGACATGGGGTCGCTGGACAAAACAACCTACAAGAGCTCCTGAGAGTGGATGCAAAGCTGCAGCTTTTTCCTTTTTCTTTCTTTTTTTCTGTCAGTTGTAGGACCTGAACCCTGGGCTTGGGTGCTGTCCCTCAGCTCTTCAGCTCAAGGCGAGCGTTCTACTGCTTGAGCCACAGTGCAATTCCAGTTTTCTAGTGGTTTATTGGAGATAAGAGTCTCATGGACTTTTCTGCCAGGGATGGCTTTGAACCGTGATCTTCAGATCTCAGCTTCCTAAGTAGCTAGAATTACAGGCATGAGCCACCAGCACCTGGCTCAGCTTTTTCTTTTCTCTCTCTCTTTTTTTTTTTTTCAGTACAGGTGATTGACTTAGGGCCATGGAGTAGCAAGAAGTCTACTGCGTAAGCCACGCCTGCCCCCACCCTTTTGGCACTGGGATTGAATTCAGGGCCTCACAGTAGCTAGGCATGCTTCCAGCCTTGCTATTTGATGGCTATTGTTCTACTTCCTGCCAGGGCACAGAGATGCTTGTCCTGCGATCTGCCTGGTTTTGTTTTCCCCTTGATGCTGGGTGACAGCTGAGTGCCACCACATCCAGCTCCCTTGCCATGGAGAGGGACTCTTGTGGACGTTCCTGCCTGGACAGGAAGCAGGCATGCACGCTGTGCTGGGTTATGGGTTCAGAAGGGCTCTCTCCAACATCCCTGCCTTTTAACTGTGATCTTCTGGCCTTTTACTGGGATCTTCCTTCCTTCCTTCTTTCCTTCCTTCGTCAGTCATGGGGCTTGAACTCTGGGTCTTGGCGCTGTCCCTCAGCTCTTCGGATCAAGGCTAGCACTCTACCATTTGAACCACAGCGCTACTTCTGGCTTTTTCTGGTTATGTGGTGCTGAGGAATCGAACCCAGGGCCTCATGCATGCAAGGCAAGCACTCTACTCCTGAGCCACCTTCCCAGTCTTACTGTGATCTTATCATTCTTATCCTGACCTTTAACTGTGATCCTCTCATTCTTATCCCCCCTAGTAGCTAGGACTACAGCTTGGGCTGTAACTTTTAACTGGGTCTTTTCTGTAAGGTAGAGCCCGAATCACAAATCCTCAGCCCAAGGTGATCAAACCACAAGGAACAGAACCATCAGAACCCTGGCCCAGGCTCATGGGATCTCACCTCTTATGTTGACCTGCAGTGCCCTCTTCACTGTCTCAGTGACTGTTCTGGCAGCTTCGCTGTGGGAAGGGACATAGGCAAGTTCCCAGGTGCCCACTGATGGGGCTAAAGTGAAGAAAAAAGGCAGCTGCTGGATGGACTGGCTGGGGTAGACAGTAGCGTTGGGCACATTTTCTGACTGAATCTTCAAGCGAAGCCAAATCAGGATCCCAGAAAACAACAGGGGCAGGAGGAGCTCCAGGATTGTCACCAGAACCTTCCGCTTCTAGAAGACAAACAACCACCCCATTGATGGAGTGCTCTTCCCTTGAGGGTGTCCCAGCACCACAAGCACCCCTCCTTGGGCTGGACCCACCTTCAGAGTATAGTTCTTCCAGAGCAGGAGGGCCAGCTGCCGCAACACCGACATCCTCCCTCCGGTGGGGTGCCAGCACGAGCCGTGGACCAGAGGTGAGTGATGGAAACCTAGACCACTGGTATCCGGGGAAGAGCCATGAGCTGTCTTCCTCAACAGCCCTTCTTTAACCCCAAACACCTCCACAGAGAATGGCACAAGGCTCTGCCCCACCCTGATTCCCAAAACACACAGTTCTGTAAGATGTCCAAAGATCATATCCTCTTTGGAGGGATTTATGTCCTTGCCTTGGTAGCAACTTGAGCCATGCACCCAGTCCTTTTTTTCTAATTTGGTCATTTTTTGGGTAGAATCTTGTGCTTCTGACCAGGCCCTCCTGTTCCTCTAGCATAGCTAGGATCACAGCTATATACCACACTGAGCTTCTTCTTTTCTTTTGCTTTTAGGTCCCAGAACAGGACTCAAATTCAGCACCTGATACTTTTGCTCACTGGCTAGTTCTCTACCAACTAAGCCAAGCCTCCAACCCCAGTTTGTTCTTTTTTTGCTCAAGCTGGACTCAAATTGATTCTCCCATGTCTACCTTCTGAGTAGATGGGACTATAAGCATAGCCAACAGGCCTGGGAACCAGCAACATGCTTTTTTTTTTTTAAATTAAATGAGCACTGTGACTGCTGTGGTGGTGTTTATCATTTGATCAGTGTTATTCAGATAATCTCTGTAGTTCATGCACATTTGCCACTTATTAACAAAATATTCAGGTTAATGGAGTCCTTCTTTCTAAATGGCTTTATTTTCAACAAACACAGAACTGTCAAAAGATAACTGAGAAGAAGGGGTGACATTGTCTAAAAAGGAATGTACTCTTGGCAAGGTGCTGTGCCAAGGGTTCATATGTGTAATCCTAGCTACTCAGGAACCTGAGATCTGAGGATCACGGTTTGAAGCCAGCTGGGGCAGGAAAGGCCGTGAAACTTTTTGTTGTTGTTGGTTGTGGGGCTGAACCCCAAGACTGAGTGCTGTCCCTGAACTTTGCTTTTCCTTTTCTTTCTTTCTTTTTCTTTCCTTTCTTCTTTCTTTCTCTCTCATTTTTTTTTGGGGGGAGGGTCCAGTCGTGGGGCCTGAACTCTGGGTCTGAGCTTTGTCCCTCAGCTCTTCAGCTCAAGGCTAGCACTCTACCACTTGAGCCACAGTGCCACTTCCGGCTTTTTTCTTTTTGCTTATGTGGTGCTGAGGAATCGAACCCAGGGCCTCAGTCATGCAAGGCAAGTGCTCTACCACTGAGCCAACTTCCCAGCCCCATCTCTCATTTTTTTTTGCCAGTGCTGGGGTTTGAACTCAGGACCTAGGAACTGTCTCTGAGCCTCTCTGTGCTCAAGGCTAACACTCTACCACTTGAGCCACAGAGCCACTTTCGGCCTTTTCTGTTTATGTGGTACTGAGGAATCCAACTCAGGGATTCATGCATGCTTGGCAAGCTCTACCACTAAGTCACATTCCCAGTCTTCCCTGAGCTCTTTCCCTCAAAGGTAGAGCACTTTACCACCTTGAGCCACAAAGCCACTTCTTGTTTTCTGAGGTTACTTGGAGATAAGAATCTCTTGGGTTTTCCTGCCAGAGCTGGCTTTGAACTGTGATCCTCAGATATCAGCCTCCTGAGTAGCTAGGATTATAGGCCTAGAGTGGAGAGGCTCTTATTTACAACTGATCACTAGAGAATGGGAAGTGGGGCTGTGACTCAAAGTGGTTGAGTGATAGCTTTGAGCAAAAAGAGCTCCGGGACAGATACCAGATCCCGAGTTAAAGCCCCACAGCCACCACCACCAACAACAAAAAGAAATGTACTTTTTTACTAGACTTATATAACTGTATCCCCTCTTACATTATCTTTACAACAATAAAAAAATTTTAAAGAAAAAAGATAACTGGAGAGAGAGAAAGAGAGAGGGGAGAGTGAGAGAAGGGGAGGGACGCGGGGGGGGGGGGGGGGGGGGGGGGGGGGGGGGGGGGGGGGGGGAGGATGGGAATGGTGGAGAGGGGGGGAGAAGAAACAAGTGGCCCAGCATGGTGATATACTGAACACTTGTAATTCCAGCACTTGGAAGGCTGAGAAAGGAAGATCACAAGTTCAAGGACAGCCAGGGCTTTATATAGCAGAGTCTATCTAAAAAAAAAAAAAAAGCAGGAGTAGGGAAAAGAAAAAGAAGAAATATCTACTTAGCTGAGGATGATTTCTAAGATTTGAAGAGGACATTGGTAAAGGGAGGTAAGGAGTCCTGGAATTGGGTGTGCACTGGCTTTGTTGACCTAGGAGCAGGATGGGGTAGATAGATTAGTGTATGTGGAATGATCAACTATTTTCTCCTGCCTTGAGTCTAAGGATTGATTTGTATAAGTATGGGAATCAGAACTGCCATTACACAAGACTAGCCATCCCAGGCTTAGTGGTACATGCCTGTAATCTTAGCACCCCAGGTTTGAGGCTAGCCTACACTAGAAACTCAGAATGTGATACAAAATATAAATAAATACGCTGGGCTCATGGTTGTAAGCCTAGCTACTCAGGAGGCTGAGATCTGAGGATTGTGGTTCAAAGCCAGTCTGGGTAGCAAAATATGGGAGACTCTTATCTCCAATAAACTACTAGAAAACTGGAAGTGGAGCTGTGGCTCAAAGTGGTAGAGTGCTAGCCTTGAGCAAAAGAGCTCAGGGACAGTCCCCAGGCCCTGAGTTCAAGCCCCACAACTGACAAAAAAAAAAAGTAAAAAATAAACAAATAAGCTAAAACCAAACAAGAAGACCAGTCATTTTCATCTTCATCAATAGTCCAAAGAAAATATCTCCAAGAAATTCTCTATTATATATTTACATCTGACAAACATAACTGGAGAAAAAAACATGTCGAGAGATTATCAAACGCAAATGATAGCAAAAACAAGAGCTTATATTTATAAAGATATTTGACAATTTCGAAAAATTCATTTTGCTAAATTTCAAATATAAGAAATAGAGACACCGAGCCCAAAGTTCATTCACTGCTAACCTGTTGGGGAAGTAGGTAGATGAATAAGCCCAGGGAAAGCTGGAGACTCAGGACTGTTCCAAAAGCCGTAGGCCTGGAGGTGCAGGAGGTGCAGGTGAAGGAGCTGGAGGAGTCCCTGTCCTCATCCAGTGCTGAACTGCAAGCAAGCAGAAAGGAGCACTCTCCAGCTCAGCGTCCTCCAAGTAAGGCAGGCAGTGAGTCACTGGGGGAGAGTTTAAGTAGTTAATCAAGGCTCATACTAACCAAACACCCTCCTTCCCTCAGTGGGGCTGGGGAAGAAAGTGAGTGACTCATTCATTAGTGAGTACAGCTACTGCTGTCAATGTGAGCCTGGAGACTGCGGAGCATTGGGTGGAGAGGCTCTTTTTTTTTGTCAGTTTTTTTGTCGGCCATGGGGCTTGAACTCTGGGCGTGGGCGCTGTCCCTCGGCTCTTCAGCTAGTGCTCTACCACTTGAGCCACAGCACCACTTTCAGTTTTCTTATTGGAGATAAGAGTCTCACAGACTTCTTCCAGGGCTGGCTTCGAACCGTGATCCTCAGATCTCAGCCTCCTGAGTAGCTAGGATATCAGGCGTCAGCCACTGGCACTCGGCTAAAAGCCTCTTTTTATTTAGGAATCTAAACTGAAGACTCTATGAGGAGTTCTATTTTGTATATTAAATACCACATGATAAAATATGAGTAGCATGTGAAGAAAGCTAAGGTATGTGAGATGTTCTTAAACAATTTAATAAATTATCTCAATTCTTTAAAAATCAATAAAGGTTGGGAATGTAGCTCGGGGACAGAGTATATGTAAGGTCCTGGTCCCAACGTTAAATAAAGAAATAAAATCAATGTGGAAGAATGCTTTTTAAATCAGCTGCAGACAATGAATAAAACAGCATGACTTAAGGCCTGTGGTTTACCTGTCCAGTAGAGCTGGACAGACAGACAGACTGGCTAAGATAAACTTCCCTCCAAAGACAGAAATATACAAGTTAAAAAAAAAAACAAAACAAAGTTCACAGTTAAAGAAGCTTTCTGCCGGGGCTGGGAAGGTGGCTCAGTGGTAGAGCACTTGCCTTGCATGCATGAGGCCCTGGGTTCCATTCCTCAGCACCACATAAGCAGAAAAAAATAGCCGGAAGTGGCACTGTGGCTCAAGTGGTAAAGCGCTAGCC